AGCCGTCCACAAGGGAACCAGCCCAGACTTGGGCAGCATCCACATTTGGCTTCTAGGTGGAAGCAGGGCTCTTTGGAGGAGCCACGCCAGGCCAGTCTCCTATCGTCCATTGTCTGGGTTTTCTTCAGCTTGGGGCCCGATCCTTCCCAGACCTCCTTTGCCCCGCTCTTCCTGAAAGATGACAGGCAAAGCAGGTCAGAGCACCGCAAGAAGGTGCATCTATCCGAACCTCCAACCAACATCAGCACCCTTTTACTGCCATCCCCTCCCCGCCAGCCACGCCTGCCATCTCCCAGGTCCGCAGAGGGCTTTTCGAAAATCAGTAGTTGCTATATTGCTATAGAGTTATAATGCCAGAGCAACTAGTGGTTTTTTAAAAGCCCTCCCAGTGGTGGTGAGGCAAATGGTCAGCAAAAAAAGGACGATTCTGGAAAATTACAGAAAACACCCCCATGCAGGGCTATTTTTGGGCAGGAACGCGTTCCGGCTGGCTCCTGCGTTGGCCATGCCCAGCAGGAACTCATTAGCATAATAGGCCACACCCAACGGCAGAAACTCATCAGGATTGGCTACAGTAGGCATGTGTGGCCTAACATGCAAAGGAGTCACTGCTACAAAAAAAGGCCCTGGGTTTTGACCACAAACAAGGTAAACAGAATAAGAAGCAAAAGGTGGGTGTGGCTGGATGACCACACTTCTGGCAACACGGGGCTGCAGCCTAATATGCTAATGAGCTGTGGTGTCAGGGTGTGGCCTGATATGCTAATGAGTTTCAGCTGTTGGGTGTGGCATATTATGCTCATTAGTTCCTGCTGGGCTTTTTCTACAAAAAAAGCCCTGCCCCCATGTAAACACCTGGTTGCCCCTGGGAATAGCCCGGCATTTGCAGTGGCAACGACCTCCCAATGAGTTGTTACCGCACAGATGCAGCCTTAATTTGAGCTATTTGGGGGTGCACTCAGAGGGCCTCTCATAGGGTTGCCAGCTTCCAGGAGGGGCCTGGAGATCTCCCCCTTTTGCAACTGGTCTCCAGCTGACAGAGATCAGCTCCCCTGGAAAAAAGGGCTGCTTTGGAGGGTGGGCTCTGTGGCCTTGGACCATGCCGAGGCCCCTCCCCTCCCCAAACCCCTCCCTCCCGCAGATCCACCCCCAAAGTCGCCAGATGTGTTCCAACCCGCACCTGGCATCCCTGGCTGCAGGGGGTGAGTTGAGCCTGCTGCTAAACACCTGGACGGGTGGGGAACAGATTCCATAAGACGAGCCCTTGCAAGGTCAGAGCAAGGATCCTTCTAGTTCAGCATCCTGTTTCCCTTTTGGGGAGTCCTCAAGAGACCATGGAGGCAAGTCCTCCAACTGCTGCCCCTTCCCCGGCCACTGGCATTTAGGGTTGCCACCCTCCAGGTGGGGCCTGGGGAATCCCTTGGAATCCCAGCTTGCCCTCAGACGACAGAGATGGACAGCTCCTCTGGAGACCGTGGCTGCTTTGGAGGGGGGACTCTAGGGCAGTGGTGGCGAACCTACGGCACGGGTGCCAGAGGTGGCACTCAGAGCCCTCTCTCTGGGCATGCGTGCCATCGCCCCAGCCAGGTCCTCATTAAAGCATTGAATTCTCTGCCAAATAATTTTAAGTCAATGAAAGCATTTGGGATTGCTTTCCTTCCTTTGTTTGGATCATCTTAAGTGAATGTATGAGTTGTTTTTTCTAAAGTAAAACCTCAGTATTCAGGTTAGATGGCCGTATTGGCACTTTGCGATCAATAAGTGGGTTTTGGGTTGCAGCTTGGGCACGCGGTCCCTAAAAGGTTCGCCATCACTGCTCTGGGGCATCGTACCCCACTGAGGTCCCCGTCCTCCCCAGGCTCCACCCCCAAACCTCCAGGAATCTCCCAACCTGGATCTGGCAACCCGACCCCCTGCCAGTGGCTAGGAGGGACCTGGGCAGCCAATGCTCCCTCTAAGCTGTGCATTCTTGTGAGCAGAAATCCTACTTTTGTGAGCTACCGGCATTAAAGTGGTGGGCGAGCCATTTGGCTGCTGCATACACAAGTTCACCCTGGAGCCGTCCCTCCTGAGCTGAGACAGACATGTGCGAGCTGGAGGCTAAGAAGCTGTGAGCCAGCTCACACTCAGTCAGCTTAGAGGGAACACTGTGGGCAACCTCCCTGGCATGCAGAAGCACCGTTGCCTCTGCCTAGGGAGGTTCTCTGCAGCCACCCCCACCCCGGGCAGAGCTCCCACCAATGTTCCCTCTAAGCTGTGGAGTCTTGTGAGCAAAAATTGTCCTTTGTGAGCTGCTGGCATTAAAGTTGTGAGCGAGTGATTTGGCTACTGCATCTATTAGCTTGCTCTGGAACCCTCCTCCCTGAGCTAAGACAGAAATGTGTGAGCTGGAGGCTAAAATTCTGTGAGCTAGCTCACACTAACTCAGCTTAGAGGAAACACTGGCTCCCACCCTGACTTCTGTCTCTTCCCTTTCACAGCCATCTTAGGCCTGCAGAGCCAACAAGATGGCAGAACGGACTGTACCACTTCTCAGCCTCCCGGGGAGGAGGCCCCACCTGGGACCCCGGTTCCTCTGGCACCCCTCTGGGTTGGGGAACCGATACCGCAGGCCAAGAGCCGAGCGTGCCCCCTTTGCCCCCCTCCCCCCAGGCGCTCCTCGGGAGCTCGTCCAGGCTTGGAAAGGCGACGTCCCCACCCGCAGCCTTGCAGTGGTACAGCCCATCCTTCCCCCCGTCCAAGCGAGCGGCCCGGACCGCGTCTGGTGGCGGGGAGTTCCGCACGCGAATGCTGCTGCACCAGGGAGGAGGGTCTGCTGCTCCTCAGCTGCAATGCCCGCGGCAGCCCAGGTCCGGGAGGGCTTGCAAAATGCGCCTCGCTTCTTCCCCACCCAGGAGCCCGAGCTCGCTCACCAGCCCCAGTGTTCCCTCTAAGCTGAGTCCGTGGGAGATGGCTCGCAGTTGGTTTTTTGAGCCATGCATTTTTTTTTGTCTCGGCTCCAGAGCAAACTAATAGATGCAGCGGCCAAATTGCTCGCTCACCACTTTAATGCCAGCAGCTCACAAGGTAGAATTTTTGCTCACAAGACTCCGCAGCTTACAGGGAGCATTGACCAGCCCCCTCCTTCCCTGATCCGTCTCGGCCCACATGCATCTCTTGCAGCGCAGACAATGAGCCAGGAAGCGTTCGGGCCGCCCCGGTCTTTAACCACTACTCCACAGCCCTCTTCCAAGGCGCCTCCGTTCCGGGCTCGATGGGGACGCTGTCCCTTTAAGGCGGCACTACTTTCTCGCTCCCCGGTTTGTTTACAACGCCTTCCAACGCGGATCAGTCGCCGTCGCGGGGCTATCGCGACGTTCTCTCGCTCGCAGTGGCGAGTGTCCTTCCGCCACCGAGGGCTTCCTGCCCGCCTCTCCCGCAAGATCCTTTGCGCCGCCAGGTGACACCCATTTCCCTCCCATGTATAAGGCCTGTTATTGAGATCTCGCGTCCTAAACGGGGCAAGCGAGTTCGAAATAGTCTTAATCTTCAGAATCATGTCAGGACTACTTTGAGGGCGCTACCATTTTTTCTCCCCCTTTACAGGTCAGAACACACCGTGGTTTGCCAGGACCCAGGCCACGAAGCCGGGAGCGCGTGTGGCGACTGATATTCGCAGTCAGGCGCCCTTAACGGGAATTTTTGGAGTCACTCGGCAGCCAACGAAGGTTTTTAACCCGTGTCAACAGATGGTATGTTCCAGTTCCCACCTCCTCTGCCGCCTCCCGCTCCTTTCCTCTCATTGGCTAAGATACGAATGAAAGACGCCCACTCTAGCCACTCACACCTCACTTGTTCAGGAGGCCTATCAGAGGGCTCTTTGTTTTTCTTCCCGCCTTATCCAAGAACCGATTGGCTGAAGAGCGCGTCCCAGGCATCATTCTGGGAATTGTAGTCGCTACGTCGAGAGCGAGCTGGGCAATCGATCGGAGAAGGAAACCACAAATCCCGAGAAGCGTCGGGGTCAGGGGGATGAGAGGCGCCTGCGCGATCGCAGGTGGGGGCTGGCTCGTTTATATAAGGCGAGGTGGCGAGCGGGGAGTAGCAGTTGAGATCTGGCGGCGCTCGGGTGAGGGGAAGCGGGGGAGGGAGGCGGGGCCGTCCGCGCGAGTGGGCGGGAGCGAGCCGCGCTGGGCGTGCGCGGAAGAGTTAACCCCTTCGGGCCCGCTTTAACCGTCTGCGGTCCGAGCCGGCGAGCGCTGTTAACCCCTTCAAGGCTGGAGCGGGACTTCCCCCTCATTTCTGCGCCGCTTGGACACCGAAGCTGGATCCGGAGAAATATATATATATAAATATATATATTTCCGTTTAGGGTTCTTATTGGACGTTGAACTGCTCGTGGCCTGGAAAGGCTGTTTCACTGGGAGTTAACCCTGGGAGTGCCGGGACGGGAAAGACTTAACCCTTGGTGGCCTGCCGTCCAGAAGACGCCTGCTGCTCCTTGACCCGTCGGGGGGACTCTGCATTCATCGCTTGCATTCTCTTCCTCGGACGGGACATTGTGACTGTTCTTTGCAAGCTTGGGGCACGTCGGACTTCTGTCCTGCCTCCAACATCGGTTCTTTTTGTCCCCACTTTGGATTCCCAGATGTGGCGCCTCGGCAGGCAGCTGCTGTGAGGAAGAGGAGGAGGAGCAGCAGCGGCCGAGGAGAGCCGGCGCTGGACCCGGCGGGCAAAGGAGGCGGCCGTCGCGTCCCGCTCTCTGCAAGGATTGACGCTGACGATGCTTCTCCGCCCCGGCGGCGCTGAGGACGTGTGCCAGGGCTAACCGTCGGGCGCGGACTGCCAAGGCTCCTTGGTGGGTGGGGGGCGCCGTCGAACCCGCCTGCCTTTGCAAAGTTGGCCGCGGCAGCAGAGCCGGCTGGACCTCGAAGGCAGGAGCTGCGGAGCCGCCCCCTCCTCGGACTGAGCCCCCGTCCGCCGCCGGCCGCGGGGAGAGGGCATCGCCCAACCCCTTCGCCATGACCGACGCCGTCCTCTCTGCCAGTGGCGGCCGGCCGGCGCCCTTCTCTGCCACCTCTGGGCGGCGGGCGGGCGGCGGGGGCCCTTTCCCGGAGTCCCCGCCCCCCGACCCGGAGCTCCCGGGCGGAGGAGAGCCGCTGGACGGCAGGTGGCGGCCGAGGGAGGCCCCGCAGCCGGGGGCTGACCGCCCCGACGGGGAAGGGGCAGTGGAAGGGGACGCGCCGCCGCTTCCTCCCGCAGGGGCGAGCCAAGGCTGCGACGGCGCGGCGGGGGGCCGGAGCCAGGACCCAAGCGGCGGCGTCGAAAGGGGTCCCCCGGAGGACGCGCCCTGCCCGGGCTCCGTCGGGGGTCCGTGGGGCCCGCGGTGGCGCCCGGCGTCGGGCGGGGAGGAGGAGCAGCCGCCGCGGCAGGTGGGCAAGAAGAAGCACCGCCGCCGGCCGTCGAAGAAGAAGCGCCACTGGAAGCCCTACTACAAGCTGAGCTGGGAGGAGAAGCAGCGGTTCGACGAGAAGCAGAGCCAGCGGGCCTCCCGCCTCCGCGCCGAGATGTTCGCCAAGGGCCAGCCGGTGGCGCCCTACAACACCACCCAGTTCCTCATGGAGGACCACGACCAGGAGGAGCCCGACCTCAAGACGGCCGCGCCCCCCGGCCCCAGGCGCGCCGCCCATGCCCATGCCGCCGCCCCCAAGTCCGACGACAACCCCTCCAGCGGCGCCGAGGAGGACGGCTTCTTCGCCGAGGAGGAGGAGGAGTTGGCGGCCCTGGACGGCAGCGACGGGATGGGCGGCGAGGGCAGCGAGTTCCTCCAGAAGGACTTCTCCGAGACCTACGAGCGCTACCACGTGGAGAGCCTGCAGAACATGAGCAAGCAGGAGCTGGTCCGCGAGTACCTGGAGCTGGAGAAGTGCCTCTCCCGCATGGAGGAGGAGAACAACCGCCTCCGCCTGGAGAACAAGCGCCTCGGGGGCGGCGGCGGCGGCGAGGACCTCCGCCTCCGGCCGCTGGAGCAGGAGCTGGACAGGCTGCGGGCCGAGAAGGGCCAGCTCGACGGCAGGCAGCAGGGGAAGCCGCCCCCCGAGGTGGCGGCCGGAGAGTGAAGCCCGATTGGGGAGGGGGGCTTCCCCCCAAGACCCCCGGGGGGGCGGGCAAGGTCCCGATTGCGGGTCTGTAAATATACAGAGAACAATGGACCTCCTTTTTTTCTTTTCCTTTTTTGGTGATTTAATCAGAATAAAATCAAAACCTTGTATTGTTTTGGGATGTATAGCTATAACATAGCGTGTGCTTTTTCCCCTTTTTCTTTTTTTCTTAATGATGTGTAATCAGGGCAGTCTTTGGAGTGGGACACTGCTTTTCTTTCCTAAGGAGACCTTTGGTGTTCAAGGGGAGGGTTTTCGGTACTTTCTGACCTGTTGGAACTTGCGCTTTGTGTTTCTTCTGAACCAGGAGGTGGGGGTGGGTGGGAGGGGGGGCGGCGGCTGGTAAGATGTCAGTCACATTCTGGGAAAGGCTATACCTAATAAATTTAAGGATGTGCAACGATTCTGGTGTGGTTTCTAGGAAAATAATTCAAAATGTTCTCTTCTGCCAGAGAATATTGTGAATAATTTTTTCCCCAAGTGGTTCTCGGATGTCTTAGCATTTTTTGTTTTTAAATGGAAAACAAATTGGGGGCTGGTGTGCTGCCGTTGTGTTGGGTTGCTAATATAGAAAGCCCTTTGTTTAATATTGCTACTTATCACAGCCGTATGGTTTTCCCGTGTGCCTTAACAATCATTATGTTTTTTCTGTATGCACTTGTCAGAGCAAACGGCCAGGGCCCTGTGGGGTAGGCTACTGTGCCCATTTTACATACAGAGATTTAGGGTGGGGGAATATGATGTGCCCAACCAATGTCCATGGCAAAGGAGAGAATTTTAGATCTTGTGGCTAAAATTTCTATCCCCTGTAAAGTGTTTGCTGTGGATTATATGGCAGCATTCTTCAATGTTAATATTATTCGTAAATTATGACAATATTATCTGGCTGGAGGGGGGTAGCGTGTGATCTGTCTCCTTTTGTACACCTCAGATTGAAACATCAAATCAAGGTCTTGGAGGGGAAAAGATTCCTTACCCTTCTGCAACGATAATAACAGAGACTGGAAACAGGATCTTAAACCAGGGGCGGTGCTCTGACGGACAGGTTTCATTTTGCATTCAATAACAGGAAGGATTGTATTGACTTAGGCTAGGATGACCCTCTTGTGAGTGGTTGCGGTTGATCAGTGTGTGCTTTTCACCTTTTCATGTCATGCATAACTTGGCTTACTTGCTTGAGCCGCCTGAATAGCTTTAATCTCTTGTTATGGATATAGGGTTATGGCTCTGAGGTTAAGACTCTGAGCTGCAGACTGGAAGGTTTGTAGTTCAGCAGTTCGAGACCCGAGTGCCGCGTGATGGAGTGAACTCCCATCTCTGGCCCCAGCTCCTGCCCAACTAGCAGTCCGAAAGCAAGAAAATGCAAGTAGATAAATAGGTACCGCTTCAGTGGGAAGGTAACAGCGTTCTGTGTGCCTCGGTGTTTAGTCACGCCGGCCACATGACCACGGAAGCGTCTTCGGACAGCGCTGGCTCTTCGGCTTGGAAACGGAGATGAGCACCACCCCCTAGAGTCAGATTTTACTAGCTTTCGAGCAAGGGAAACCTTTACCTTTACTATGGGTAAACAACCTGTGTGGTTGGTTTAGGTCTCTCTGCTTTATGCTCAAGGTGTGTGGATTAAGACAACCCTAATGTGCAGTCATCTGAGAGAGGAATTCCATTTGAACTCAAATCATATTTACATGCATCGATTTGTAAAGCCCCTGATGATGACTCATTCCTGAACTGATTTTTCTCAATGGCTGTGTTTCAAGAGCCTTGAGCTTTTTTTTTTTTTTTGGCAACTGCTCCTTTCATAAATAAAGAAGCCTGCAGGTAGAATATTCTTCACCTGTTTAGCATATTTTGAATAACGGGGGGGGGGGCAGGCCCAGTGTGGGCTACATTTAAAAATTACAACTTTCCATCAAGCAAAAGCGTCTGACTTCTGACCAGGCTGTCTGGGAGTTCTTCAAAGCTCTACTGTCCCATGTCTGAAGGGCATAAAGATGGGGCAGACTTCATCTGCCCTCTTTGGTTTACGGACCTGAGTTAGGGAATCAGTAGGGGGCTTGATTCCCTAGGGGGCTCAAGTGGTTAAGATGCTGAACTGCAGGCTGTGGAAGGTCGGTAGTTCAGCAGTTCGAGACCCGAGTGTGCCGCATGACAGAGTGAGCTCCCGTCTCTAGTTCCAGCTCCTGCCAACCGAGCAGTTGGAAAGCAAGAAATTGCAAGTAGATAAATAGGTACCACTTTGGTGGGAAGGGAACAGCGTTCCGTGCGCCTTGGTGTTTAGTCACGCCGGCCACATGACCACGGAAACGTCTTCGGACAGCGCTGGCTCTTCGGCTTGGAAACCGCATGACAGAGTGAGCTCCCGTCTCTAGTTCCAGCTCCTGCCAACCGAGCAGTTGGAAAGCAAGAAATTGCAAGTAGATAAATAGGTACCACTTCGGTGGGAAGGGAACAGCGTTCCGTGCGCCTTGGTGTTTAGTCACGCCGGCCACATGACCACGGAAACGTCTTCGGACAGCGCTGGCTCTTCGGCTTGGAAACGGAGATGAGCACCGCAACCCTAGAGTCGGATTCGACTGGCTTTCGAGCAAGGGAACCTTTACCTTTTAGGGGGCTTGAGCCTTCTTCTCCCCCACCCCGTGTGTGGGTTTCCCTCCTACTTACCTCTAGGGCTGTGTTATGCCTACGCCAGTGGTTTGGCTAATCACAGGAAACTCCAAACCACAGCGTAGAAGAGGGCTTTCAGATAAGGGTTTGGAGTCAGCTGGCCAGCAAAAGCACTAGAAAAGGCAAAATATGTGGTGGTTAGCTCTGAAAATGAAAAGGGGGGGGTGCCCTGTGTGCAGAGAGGAGGGAAAGCTTGCAGGGCTCTCCTGATACCTCAACCAGGGGTTGGAAATTAGACAGTCTGGGACTCAAAGTCAGTTTTTCGATCACCAAGAGCAACGACTGTAGGACATTTCTACACGGTGTGGAGGGGAGGTCTGAAAATCTCTTAACATGGGGGTACCCAACGTGGTGTCTGTGGTGCCCGCCGCCACTTTTTCGGGTGCTTGCCAAGTTTTTTCAGGAAAGTGGGCAGGGCCAGGTAGGCTTTTTGCCAAGCAGGTCTTCTGATCGACTGTTGGAGGTTTGATTGGCCATGCGGATTTTTTTTTTTTTAATGTTGCTTTGGCGCCAGCTCCCACCACAGCACAAGGGTCTACACTGTGTTACTGAAGTTAAATGGCTGCAGTCATTTTGTGGCTGGCTCCGCCTCCTGGGGAAGCCATTTTGCGGCAGCCATTTTGTGGCTGTGCCCATCCTGACGCGTCAGGATTCCAAATGTGCCACAACTAGTCTTCAGTGGCGGGGGGGGGCTCTGCCTGCTCAGGACTCCCTGACATGACTGCCACTGCTGACCCTCTGCCTGGCAGCGCCCCTCCCTCCCCTGTGGTGCCAACTGTAAATCTGGGCACATTGACGCCCCCTCTTCCAACTGCTTGTTGGAAGGGAGCACTTCTCTCCTTTGCTCGCAGCATGGGCACATTGATTACAGAAAGGGGCATTCCCCGCCACTGATGCACGCTGGTGGCTGCCACGCTGTATGCCCGCTGCTAGGTGCAAGGAGCCAACTAAGCCCTGGGGAAGAGGCAGCTGCTTCTCCCAAGCAGAGCCCCCCAGGTTCTCCAGGGCCAGTCAAAATCACCTTGGGGGCTGGTGCTGAACCTTTCCCTGCCGTGCAGGGAGAAAAAAATGGCAAGTGGGACACCCATAAAGAAATCTGGGATGCTGAATGCACCTGTGGACCACAGTACTTTTCATGTATTTCTGCTGTGGCACAAAGGACATAAGGATTGATTGACGTGATTTATAGTCGGCCTTTCTGACAGGGACCCAAGGTGGAGGATGCTAGCTGGTCGATACAATCAACGAGACGGGACATTCAATAAAGCATGAAATAGGATTGGGGCTGTAGAAGGTTGTCCTTGCTTGGGGTGGAGGGGAGCAGGCCTGGGAGAAGAGAAAGAGGTTGGTGAAGTACGATTCAGACCTTGGAGTGGCACGAAGCTCTTCAACACTTGTATCTTTTACCTTGGGCATTTCGAACTCCTAACTGTGCTTCCTTCGTCCCCCTTTCTGGAGGGCAAGGGAAGCGTTGGGCTCTCCGCATTCTGTGGCGTCCCCATCCATGCCTGGTGCACACTTCCCCTGCGCATATGTTGTATGGCACTGAGGCCTGCACTTCTGGAGTGCTTGGGAACTCCCCCAACCCACTTCTAGTGTTTTTAACAGGTTAAGGTGGATGCGTGTTCATCGTTGTAAACGTTCAAAACCCACACAAACTTCTAGCGGTTTGCGATAGGGTCGAGAACTGGTGAGGGTATCCTGGATCCAGTTACTGACTGGGTGGCTTTGAGATGATAGACAAGCCACTGGCCTGGCTTGCTTCACAGAGCCCTTATCACAACACAATAGGATAACTCTTCCGTGAGCCAGGTTGGGATGCAGTTGCGATGACTCTGGGCTTGTATAGAGGCACTCACCGCCAGTTCTAGTGTGGCAAGAACACTTGCATGTTCAAAGCAGTTGTGGCTCCTTCAGTATGCCGGAGGCTATAAGCACGTGGGAGCCGCCGGCTAGCAGAATCTCCATTTTTTGTTGCAAAAAAATTATTTGCAAGGCTGGAGAAATCTGACCGTATCATCAGCTGTTCACCTGGGACCATTAGAGGCGGGGAGTGGATGAGAGAACTTGCTAGAAGCCCGCCTTCAAGAAAAGAAAGGATTTCACTGTGTTGTTGAGAAAGGCCTGATAGACCAACCTGGAGAGAGCCCACCTGCTAGTTGAACGTAGTCCCTTACTGGAAGGCCGGCATAGCTGGAACACCCCTTACGCAACCATCTTGGGCTCCAAGAAGGCATGTATGACTGCAAGAGAGATTGGGGGTAGTTTCACCCCAGTTTAAAAATGCAATAAATTGTCCCTCTGAACAGAGATGTATATTGCTAAAAAGTAAGGTGTTTTTTTTAATGCACCCCTAGCAAGAAACTACACAAAGTAGTGACAAGGATTGCTGAATGAAGGCAGGGAGGCTGGAGAGAAATTGCAGTAATTCTTTGTGCCTGTTTCCACGGCAAGAAAATGTGGACAGTTAACCCACCGTTTTTTCAGGGAGGATGTTGGAAGAACAAAGTCAAATAGTGATGATGAGTGAGTTTTAGGGTTAGCTTTTAATTTGCCCATTCACAGGTCAGTGGGTCTAGTTAAAGAATTCAAATGCAAAATTGTCAGCCTGTGTCATTTGCAGCATTGCTAAAATTAGCC